AATGTGATGTACGGCAATACTCGGTCCCAATTCTTGTGTTCTACGTCGACGTACATGCAAAGCATGTCAGCGATTGTCTTGTTAAGTCTTTCTGTAAGCCCATTAGTTTGTGGGTGGTAAGCTGTCGTCTTCCTATGCGCTGTGCCACTGAGCGTAAGCACAGTGCGCAAAAGCTCGGCTGTAAACGCGGTACCTTTGTCTGTTATGACGACAGCTGGAGCACCATGTCTCAGAACAATGTTCTCAATGAAGAACTGAGCCGCTTCAGCTGCAGTGCCACTCGCGATTGCCTTGGTCTCCGCGTATCGGGTGAGGTAGTCCGTCGCCACTATAACCCATTTGTTGCCGCTGTCCGATGTTGGGAATGGGCCCAGCAGATCCATTCCGATTTGAGAAAACGGGGTTTCTGGCACGGGCACAGGATGTAATAGCCCAGCGGGTTTGACAGGTAGTACCTTGCGCCGCTGACAGTCAATGCATGTTCGGACGTAATGTTTAACCTCTGCTGCGATTCTTGGCCAGTAATATTTTTCTTTGATGCGTGTCAGTGTTCTTGTGAAGCCAAGGTGGCCCGCATAAGCTTCTTATGGCAGGCTTGTAAAATTTCGCTGAGGAGAGCTCCAGGAACTACCAGAAGATAACTTCTATCTGTTGATGAAAAGTTCTTTTTGTACAGAATTCCGTCCCGTAAACAGAATGACGATAAGTTCTTCGAAAACCCTCTTGGTGCATTGGCGGCTCGTCCGTTCAAGAATTCTATAAGCGAGTGGAGCTCCCGATCATCTTGTTGTTGCCGAGAAATGATAGCTGCATCAACAACTTCTAAAAAACCTGTGAAATCATCATCCTCTATAGCCGGTGATTCAATCGGTGACCTTGACAAACAGTCGGCGTCTAAGTGTTGCCTTCCGGACTTGTACACTACGGCCATGTCGTACTCTTGGAGCCGTAAGCTCCACCATGCTAAACGTCCAGATGGGTCTTGCATGTTGGTCAACCAACAAAGAGAGTGATGGTCGCTTACGACTTGGAAAGCGCGGCCATATAAGTACGGGCGGAACTTCGCAACTGCCCAAACGACGGCCAGACACTCCTTCTCCGTTGTTGAGTAGTTGGACTCGGCACGTGTCAACGTTCTGCTAGCGTAGGCAACCACTCTCTCCACACCATCTTGGCATTGAACAAGAACAGCACCTAGGCCCACATTGCTGGCGTCTGTATGGATGGCTGTTAATACATTCTCGTCGAAGTGAGCGAGGACAGGTGGATTTTGTAGACGCTGTCGCAGCTCGTTGAATGAAGCTTCTTGCTCTTCACCCCATACAAATGCGATGTCTTCCCTTGTAAGGCGGGTGAGTGGAGAGGCGATGTGTGCAAAGCCTGCTATAAATCGCCGGTAGTAGGCGCAGAGACCCAGAAAACGTCTGACCGCTTTCTTATCAACAGGCCTTGCGAACTTTGCGACGGCTGCTGTTTTATCTGGGTCAGGCTTCACACCTTCGCGACTGATCACGTGTCTCAGGAACTGGAGTTCTTCGAAGCCGAAGTGGCATTTTTCCGGTTTGAGTGTGAGTCCAGCGGACCGTATGGCTTGAAGTACTGACAGTAGCCGCTTTAGATGCTCTTCGAACGTGGCCGAAAAAACGATCATGTCGTCGAGGTACACAAGGCATGTTTTCCATTTCAGGCCGGACAGAATGGTATCCATTAGTCTCTGAAACGTGGCTGGGGCTGAGCATAGACCGAAAGGAAGGACTTTGAATTCATAAAGCCCGTCTGGCGTCACGAAGGTGGTCTTTTCTCGGTCGCGCTCATCTACTTCTATTTGCCAGTATCCACTTTTAAGGTCCATTGACGAGAAGTAGCGTGCATGCCGTAGCCTGTCCAAAGAGTCATCGATCCGTGGTAATGGATAAACGTCTTCTTTTGTAACATGGTTCAGCTTACGATAATCGATGCAGAAACGCAAGCTGCCGTCTTTCTTTTTCACCAGTACCACTGGAGATGCCCAAGGACTTTTTGATGGTTGGATAACGTCATCCTCTAGCATCTTCTTGACTTGCTGCTGGATTACCTCACGTTCTTTCTGAGCGACGCGATAAGGGTTCTGTCGGATCGGTCTTGCTGTGTCTTCCGTAATGATATGATGCTTAGTCAGAGGTGTTCGACCCACTCGTGATGTCGATGAGAAGCAGTCCTTGAACTGGTCGAGCAGCTCCATAAGACGGCATCTTTCAGTCTGTGTTAGACTCGGACCGATATCAACTGGTGGTGTATGTGGAAGTGATTGAACTGTGGCTTCCCCTTGCATTAGAAGACAGTCGTGAGAGTAGTCCAGCTCTTCGAGGTACGCCACAGCCGTGCCTTTACCGATGTGCCGGCGCTCATTCGTGAAGTTGGTCAGAAGCACGTCTGCGCGCCCATCCACTAAGCTGACAATACCGCGAGCGATGGCGATGCCTTGGTGAAAAAGAAGGTAAGTGATGCGTTCGACTATGGCGTCTTCATTACAGTGCACGGCACAACACACGGAAACAAGACTACATGACAGTGGTGGCACGCAGACGTCGTCGTCGACCACACGTAACACCCTGAGTTCTTGGTCTGGATCAGTGGTCACAGACTTGTCAGCGGCAAATGTGATCACACCGTTGCGTATGTTGACCACAGCACCGTACTCTCTTAAGAAGTCCATTCCCAGAATCATAGGTTTGCAGCACTCCGGTAGGATCAGAAATGTGGCTACAAAAGCCACATTCTCAATAGTGAGTCTTGCTGTACATTTTCCCGTGGGAGTCATTATCTGGCCTCCAGCACTTCGGATATAAGGGCCCGTCCATTCCATCCTGACTTTCTTGAGTTCATCTGCCAATCGTTCTCTCATTATAGAGAAGTCTGCACCCGTATCGACTAAGGCCGTCACTTCAACGCCGTCAATCGTCACAGCAAGGTCGGCAGTCACAGTTTTTTCGGCGAAGTCTTCATCGTCGTCTCTCACGTGTTTCGGCAGCAGTGGGGGTTTTTTGGCAATTCGACGGCTTGCAACCTTCCCCCCAGAGGTCGCTGCTTTCAGTTTCCCCGCCGTGGGCTGGAAGACCGATCTCTGACGGCGTCAGCAAAACTACGGCGGCTTGGTGAACCAAAGCGAGCCGGGGATGGTGACAGCGTCCGGAAGGTAGAAGAGCCTTCCCGCCTGCCAGCCTGATCGTCGTCGATGGGTGCACGGCTTTCGTCGAACTGTCGGCGCGTAGCTGTAGGTGCACTACCGCGGTATTCAGCTCTGCGATGTGGGCAAAAACGACAAATGTGCCCTGGCTCTCCACAGTTGTAGCAGAGTGGTCGACGATCCGCAGTGCGCCATATGTCGGTCTTCCGCATGTAGGGTCGCCTGACAGAATCCTGCTGAGCCCAGGCTGCCACAGGATACGGTTCGAGGTACTGCGGCGCTGGCATGGGCGTGGGTCGACGAATAGCGTCTGCATAGCTGTATCCATTCGGCTGGTACGATACTTCTGGAGCCAATGGACGACGCACAGCATCTGCGTAGGTATACGAGTTTGGACGGTGCGGTGCAGCGGAATATTGCTGAGGAGAGGCAAACGCTTGTCGAAGTTCATGGCGAACTATTTCAGCGACGGAGGCTACCGTGGACTCCTGCTGCGGGGGCGCCTGTGACTGCAATGTGTATTTCGCGTTCTCCTTCGCGATCTCCTCACGCACGATCTGTCTAATCAGGTGGCGTAGAGAAAACTCGTCGTTTGCGGTAAGTGCGGCGGTGCCTGCAGCTGCGCCGGTGGCCGGGCGATCAGACTGTCGGTACCATTGCTGTAGCGCACGCTCTATTGCGGTGGCCTCCCTGGTGAACTCGTCCACTGTTGTCGGCGGATTGCGCACAAGACCAACAAATAGCTGCTCTTTGACGCCCCTCATGAGAGGCTTAGCTTTCGAGCCTCGGGCATGTTGGGGTCCGCGCGGTGGCACAGACACACCATATCCTCAGCAAACATGGCGACGCTTTCATGCAGCTGTTGGGTGCGTCCTTCAAGGAGGCGTTGTGCGTTTTCGCGTCGGTCCGCGTTACCGAAGGTGTCATGAAACCGACGACAAAACTCCTCCCATGTCGTCAATGTTGCCTCCCGGTTTATAAACCATGTCTTCACGCCGTCTTCAAGGGCGAAGTATACGTGGAAGAGCTTTCCATCGAGACTCCAGTAGTTCGATTTAGCTACCCGTTCGAACTGCTCAAGCCAGTCTTGTGCATCTTCGTTCGCCCGGCCATGAAATGGTTCAGGAATGCGCATATTCTGGACCGTCACCTGAGCAGGACTCCTTGCCATTTCTTGAGTAGGGGTGGTTGTCGGAAGTGTTGCTCCCTTTAAAAGGCCAAATTCTTGTTCAAGACCTTGAAGGCGACGGCTTGAGCGGTGCACAGGCGTCTCCACGCGTAGCTGCCTCGTAGGGCTGGACTCGGGGCTTCTCACAGGGGTGCTGATCATGAGGCGGTAGTACCCAGCACCTCCACCAGTGTCGCGGGTTATAAATGACAGGGGGTTTATTTAAAAACACGGACAGTAGGACTTGTAGAGACGCTCTCAGAGAAGGCCGCTAAGATTGTCGTCTTCTTCACTCTACTGCGCTGCGCCTCTCGAGCGAATCCGTGTTCTTCGTTGTCGTCGCTATCTCGCCGCTAAATGCAGCTATGCACGCGGCAGTATATAGCGGTTGCTTTACAAGCTCTGTGAAGTTGAGTTGCACCTTTGCTAAGAAAGAAAACAAAAACAAAACGTTAGCATTGTAGCAGCCAATACGCGCTTCCTAATCTTGTAGTTGAATAATGCGGTGGTGTGATGAAAAGTTTTTCGGGGTTGCCTTGAGACATGCTGTTTTTCCATTCAGCACACCTGCTTTGCAAAACACAGAAGAAATGTAACAATGAATATAGAACAATAGAGATTATATTTCGCTCGTCACACCCGTCTAACCCGGAAAAGTTGGTTCTACATAGGTAGGCTCATTGGAGAGCACAATATTCTAAATGTTTGCTAACCTGAGTGATCACTTTTATTTTGTGGCAAATTGAGGTGCTTTGAAATGTACGCAAGGACTCACTTTTTCGAAAACCTGTAGAATGCATCATTGCGAGAACATCAGTTTTAGGAGCGGTCACTTTTCTCTTCGTACTGGTAAGTACCATTGATATGCAACTTACGCACATCTTGTGTATAATACTGAAAGCGAGGCAATATCATACGATTTTTTTTGCAATAAGGCTTCATGCACATGCGTTTCAACCGGGAGCTGAATATGATTCTTCGTAACCCTTAACCTTATGGCTCGTGAAAAAGTTCAAAACAAGAACACCACATACAAACTGGGGGTACAAATGCTACGAATAACATTGCCCTCTGTATTAAATGCTTTATCAGAAATCGTGTTTGATTTCATCTTGCAGGCCTGCTCTGCATGATTTTTTTTGTGAGATAAGTAGAATGTCAGTTTGGGACATGTATTTGATGTAGTTGTCTTTTTTTCTTTCAGTGACTATGTGTAAGAATAACGCATGCTTTTTTGCGCTTTCACTTGCGTATGCCAGTTTCTGTATGCTGTCACTGCTTTCTGAACTTGCATTGGCTGGGAAGTCTAGTCAAGCTCACTGGAGCTTTTTCAATCGCGTGAAGTCTTCTTGCTAAAGAGAAAAATAGAATGAATGAATGATTGATGAATTTACTTAATTTATTCTTCACTATATACCACTGTAATTACTCCTTTCAATACCGCTGTAATTACTCCTGTGTTTCAATACCGCTGTAATTACTCCTGTAATATACCGCTGTAATTACTCCTGTGTTTGTCATTGTGTTTCATCTTATAGCGATTGGTTTCTGCAAGGCGACGATTTCAAAATGAGGTACCATTTTTACTGAGGTGATGCCCTGTTTTCCAAGTTTTGTGAGCGGGCCCCTTCTTCTTTGTTGTCTGATTGAGTTGGGTCATAAAGCATTAGCAATTAAACTCATCCAAATTTTTCCATTTGTCAAACAGATGTTGCCTGACTGATTTATTTTGGCAAGTCATGATTACCATCCCGCCCGAACTCGCTCAAAGATAACATGTCATAGTTTTCCTTATTATACATTGTTTACGTTCTCCGTGTGAACATTTAACAACTATATTCACGAAAACGGACAGTGGAAACACATTTTATCTGTTCCATTGCTATTGCATACGACAAGAAGAGCGTTGTGCAAGCGAAACAACGACCCTTGTCAGCAGTACTTGCAATGGGTATTTGTTTGTTAGCTACGTATTGCGTATATAGCTTTGTCATTAAATTAGTATTTCATTGAGTAATGACGCATACAATATAATAAAACGGTGTTGATAGTTGTTTTCACACGAATTGGTAAATAAAACATATTGTGCGAAAGTTGCAATAACCACAGAGGTTAAATAAATTAAGATATAAGGCATCCTCCACCAGGAAAAGAATTTGATTGAGCAATGTAGAAGTTACTCGTCAAGTGGCGAGAAAAAAACAACCTGCAGTTTGCTTCCTCTTTCCTGCATTTCCGTCAAAGTTATGAAGAATGTGCAATGGACTGACTGCGTTGCCTGCTCTTTAAAAATTGGTACTCTTTGTTATGCATTCTTTGATAAGTTCTGTATTTTTGTACCATGAGATCATGAGGAGTATTTGTGAGTTCCACCCATATTCAACTGGCCTGTTTTAAATTATCGAGATCACTGTAGTATATAGCGTGCACTAATATGTGCAATGCATTCTGTGTGTCTACGTTGAAACAATGATTGTATCGAAATGAAATTTCGAAAAACTATAGTGCGAAGCTTAATGACAGCCCGTATCAAAAGGCAATATTCATATTTTTTGAGGGGGATAACATGATTTTTAAAAAGGGGCCACTTGTCTGGTGATTCTAAAATTGTTATACGACCTATGCTACATACATCGTATGGTATGGCGCACTTTTCAGTTGGTAAAAGTGAACTTCCAAAACTGGTGCATTTAGAAAAAAATACAAGGTCTGGGCGGAGAGTGCAGCACAGTCCCCGCGAAAGCTAAAGGAGTGGCTTTTCTTTTCTAAACACTCATTGGGTAACTGCTGCAAGTCCACTTGCTCGATACCCACTACGGCTATAATAAGAATAATTTTATGGTAATAAACCAGCATTCGCAACTCTATTTTTTATCATTCTTCTGAGAATCATTGCATCCGCTAAAAACTTGCTGGACATTTTGTGCCAATTGTACATGCAGTGGCAGACGACGATGAAGAATTATGCCTGAAGTGTTTATGCGCCACAGTTATTAGGTGATCAAAAACAAGTTTTTGTGCAGGGTTGGAGCATTGGATTACTCACTTATTACGCTATTCGCATTGTGTGACGAGTGGTTGTACTTTTGGAGTTTTAAAACGCTTTGTTACTCATATTAACGCGATTCCTTTCCTGACATCAAGCATGCCAAATGCAATTTTGCGAAGCACCGGCGTGGCTCAGTGGTGAAATGCTGGGCTTGCACGCAGCGGACCTGGGTTTTAATCCCACTGTCTCCTCGGTACTAGTTTTTTTTCTTGATTCGCAGTAGTGGTTACGGGCACCAGCGGTAATGGCGGCGGCAGCGGCGGCGGACAACTATGGCGCCGCGTGTGAACCGAGTTTTGATCTCACAACATATTTCACTGTAAAATGCAATAGTAATACACTAGTGCAAAGTTTTGAGGAGAATAATGACTTTGAGGAACAATACATAAAGTGATACGTGAAAGTGATCGCTGTAAAATGCAATAGTTATATGCTAGTGCGAATATTTGAGGAAAATAATCACTAGAGGAGCAATACGTAAATGTAATACGCAAAAGTGATCACTGTAAAATGCAGTAGTTATACACTAGTGTGAACTTTTTAGGAAAATATTCACTTGGAGGAGCAATACGTAATGTTATACGGGAAAATGGTTGCTGTAAAATGCAATAGTGCAAACTTTTGAGGAAAATAATCACTTCGAGGAGCAACATTTCAGAAAATGCCACTTAAAAACGATGCTCAATAAAATTTATAGTATTATTATAAACAGTGCGGGCACGCTTTGCTGTTCTGACGCAGCCGAAATGTGATTGATTGTCCTTATTGTCGTACTGGTCTTTAAACAGCGTTTCATAGTTTTACGTATGCGAGTGACCCCGTGGTATTACCTCGTAGATCCTTCGCTTATTCGAACAGGCAAACAAACCATGGACAACATTTCGAGGATTCAAGCTGATGTCATGATCCGACGCTTGAGGCGGCGGTACAATTTTGTAAATAGACTAAAAAGTCATAATTTGTTAGAAAAAATAAGCTCTAGTCTTCGATGAGTTGCTGCTCACGACATTCACTTTTATTATTGTAAAAGGTGTTTTTAGAGTATTTGAGTAGAGTATTTATAGGTACGACGCCCTTTATAGATAAAGCACTCTGCATTGCAATTGGTTCGTCAACACTAAACATCAATGAAGTACGCAATAAATTGAATGTTTCTGGAAGTATAATCACTTCTCAATTATTATCGTTGCTTCTTTACTAAGAGAATTTGTTTTCACACCGTGGTTTCTGAAACTTTTGTTCATTCCTTCTTTCTGTTCCTAGTTAGCTCAATATGCACTGGTATGCGATGTCCACCTCGATACAAACTTAGCTGCATGCTTCAATGTGGCGTGCAAGTGAGACGTTGTGGTGAGTTCTACTTTCCCTACAAAGCACTGTATATCTTATCGCTTTGATAATTGTCAAGCTGCACAAAAAGCGTGGCTGATCCCCTTGTCTTAAGAATCTGCGTTACTCGAAAGTGATGCGTCTTTTCAAAGAGGTAGTTCAGCGCTTATCGAGTATTTTTTTACCCCAAGGGAGCAGGAATAGCTTCTGTAGTAATAAATGATTAAGCCCGGTGAAAATGGCAAGGATCTCGAAATTTGCAGCTTGCCCTCTCAACAGAAAGACGCGCCAGTAGAAAATACAAAGGACGAGCAGGTACCATCAGCAGTCAGCTCGGCACCTCAGTGCTCTTCTCAAGTGCAAATAAGAACGCACAAAATGAATGCACAGAAATATACAGGGCGAGCGTGAAACCAACAACTGCCCCACTTGGCAACACACTCATTTCGCAAATGCAGTCACTTCAGTGAATGAAGTGGCATTCGTGTTTTTCGTAACTTGAACGCCATTAAGAGTAAGCGCGAGTGCACGAGTGATCACGCCCAGTAGAAAAACACGTGCATTGTGGCTCTCGAAATGACAACTAAAGCGCACCATAACGGCTTTTCACGCGTTGTCAGCTGGTGATAACCAAAAAAAAAGATTGAATGCACTGAGCTGCGAGTACCACCAGCGATAGTGTATATAAATAGCTTGCCGTTAGTCAGCTGAAGAACGTACGCTCTGTGGCCGAGTTGGTTCGCGCCATACACTGTGGAGCGAGGGGTGATAGGTTCGACTTGCGCTATGAGAACTTTTTGCGATTTGACTTGTTTTTGAACTTTCTTAGTGAATATTTCACAACGCCGTATCCTGACGTAACTACTTCAGTGGGGACATATGCTAGAAACAGAATGAATGTGATACAAGGTATCACATATATACAACCACATTATGGGAAGGTATCGCAGGGCATATTCCAATGGCTGACGTATCAGCTCCCTGAAACACACCACGATAGCGCAGACAACTTAAAAGAAATGCTTTCAAAGCCACAAGAAAGCCTGGTTTCAGTCCAAATACTGAGTCACATGAAGAGTTTATAACATTAAACACATTCTTGGTTAAGCCGGTGCAAATATCTTACAAGCCCGCTTGGCTTGTTTGATCTCAATGGAGGTTTGATGTATTTGTTAAAAACGAGTACGCAATCACTTGCAGTTTAGTACATGCACTCAGGAATATTAGAGAACGCGGCTACACCGGCTCAATTTCTCGACTGCTCACGTGATGCCATTTTGTAGCATTCAATCAAAGACTGAATGACGTCCTGGAATGATAACACAGCACTTCTTTTAAGGCCAACTGAACCACTGTCTCACTGGCAAACCACAACTACTTCCTTCACCGACTCAGAATTACTGTCACTTCCGGCATCACGCACATCTACTGATTTGCACCCCGGTTCGTTAATCTTACATGACTCATCTGCTCACTGCACAGTAAAAGCTTGTGATACCATGGGAATGTGGAGAGGGGGGTACGTGTCGCTGCAATAGATGCACCCCTTGTCCTGCGGTGATTTGTACAATTCTCCCTATCACGCGCATCAGCTTAATTATCTTTGTAGTGTTATTGTGCCAGAAGTTTGTCTGCTGGCTTCAAAGTTGAATTACAGTTCTCAGTATTGCGTCATTGTAGCATTTGTCGACAATCGTCGACAACACACCCATGGCACAAACGCGGCAGGTAACTTGTTTAGGCTTGTTTTGACAGCCATGCAATGCTACATTTTCAGTATATTTTTTCCCAGACAAGAAAGCAGAAGTTGCCACCGCATATGGTCCAGGCAGCATCCGGAACACCATGCTCACTGTGGGGATTTGCGCTGTGCAAAATGTGGCGCAGTGAATGAAGTGGAAAAAAATCACAGAATATCCACAGAGTGAATGATGATGAGTGGGGAGACGCGTCTGGCAGTTCGTCATGCGACCGTCCGACCGTTCGTTCTTGGATCTGTCTGTCTGTGCGTGCGTTCCGTGCGTCCATTCATGTATCCATTCATCCACCTGTCGTGTCTGTCGTGTGTTCGTCGATTCATTCGTCCGTACGTCTGTCTGACTGCCTGTCCTGTCCGTTCGTTCATCTGTCTGTCTGTCTGTCTGTCTGTCTGTCTGCCTGTCTGTCTGCCTGTCTGTCTGCCTGTCTGTCTGTCTGTCTGTCTGTTGGTCCGTCCATCCGTCCATCTATCTGTCTGCCCGTCTATCTGCCTGTACCTCCGTCCAGCCGTGCGTCCGTCCGTCTGGGGAACACTCCAAGTTATGCCATCTCGCCTTTTTTCATTATGTATTGAAGGACTAAACAGTAGGTGGCTACCTACCACTAAAACTACTACTACAACTACTACTACAACAACAACAAGTACTACTATTACTACATACAAACCGTATTTCAAGGACTCAACAAAAGGTGACTACCTACTACTACTACTACTACTACTACTACTACTACTACTACTACTACTACTACTGCATACATTGGGAACGCACGGCACACGGCTTAAGGAACTTTGCCCTTAAAAAGAGGAGTGTGACGATAAATATAAAGGCTTATTTTCAGGACACAGTCCTAAGCTCATCAGCTTGAGGTCATCCTAGGTTGGAGGGTCTTTATTCGCAAGAAAACTCTGGCCGCAATTACCTCCCGGGCCACAGAGATGACTCCTCATTGTTAGTCGAAGCCTCGTACGGTGCTTTTAGCCTCCCACGTCTTGGCCAGGAGGTAGATACGTGCGGTTGTTGCAGACTTGTTATTGTAACCTTCATGGCGCTATGTACACTCGAGTATTAGGTGTGCCATTGTGTCTGGCATGTCACATATTGGACATTTGTATGCGTGAAGTATGGTAAGGAGTATAATGAATGCAAAACATCTAGAGCACTTTGGCGCCTATCTAGACATCTATTTAGCCACTTACGTTTGGGTGCTCTCTTGGCCACCCCTTTAACATGGCGTGACCGGAAGTTAGTACGGGAGGCTAGGATAGTTTGAAGAAGATTATGTGATGGTCAAGACATGATTCGGAATCGTGTCGCGTATGTCGTCAAACACACTGCGGGCGGCTATGTGCCGCTGGTCGAGCGTATGTGCCACAGGTGATAACCACTTGTTATCTTCCCAGAAAGGACGACAACACACATAGGTAATTTTAGTGCATGATCGTTAAGAAAAGGCTGGCACCGGCTGCATTTACTCGACGAATTCAAAAATACATATCACGCTCCCAGCAGGAATCAAACCTCAGCATTTTGCGTGGCTATAAAGTACTGTACAGCAGATCTACGGCAGATCTCAGAACTACTTTTCAAATAGGCCCCAATGTTCGTGAAACGTCAGTCGTGGTTGCATAGCTAGCAGTAAAATTTTATAAACATTATATAAGTACTCCTATGATTCCGATGACACAGCCATCACGTCGGGTTAACGTCAATTGTATTTAGCAGTCATCCGCTGAAGTTGATTTACGTAGCAGTGTCCAGGGCTACCAAGCAAACGGGATGCCAAAATCTGGTTAACCTCTCTGCCTTCCTCTTCACACACTCTCTCTCCCCGCGAGCACCAGCACTTCATATCAGCTTATCGCTTCTGGTGTAGCTAATATATTTAGTGATGTTTTTGTTGGCGTCGTTGCGCAAGTGAAAACAACTGCTTATATAAACATCTACAACAGTTGAACAAATATGTCTGTGCATGCAACATATCTGCATATATTTAGCGTTGTTTCATAACATGTCAATAATAAAAATTACAACATGGTCACGTTCCCTGCACATGCTTTGCATGACGTCGATTTCTAAGTTACGTGGGATCTGCCAATCTTTTTTATATAGTAGAATACCATGCGTATACGTGTTAGTTTGCCGTTTTCGGAATGCTAGGGCTTCTTCCCCAGTTTTGGGGTGAGGTAGTGAGTACATCGTGCGAGTTAGACAGGGGTGTGGCGTAATATGCTATCCACTGGTGCTGGAGCCCTGGCAAGCCATGGCTCGAGGAATGTGGTGTGGGAGGCCCGACTGACGTGACTTAAAGCCCCTCCATGCGTTTTCCGCCGGCTACAGTAAGCCGGCTAGGTTAAGTAGCGCGAATTCGTTCTTCCCTCTTCTTTTACCGCTGTCCTCTGACCATCGGAAGTGGAGATGCCGCTAAGATGTTTGTGCTGCTTTTCAGGTTTATGACCCACCTTACTGCTACCCTGAACACGGATAGGGAGGAGGAAGGAAAGCTCACGGTGCTTGACGCCCCCAACCCGCCTCGTTCATGTCGGTCTCACTGCTCCGCAATCGACCCCGTCGGGCAGCCTCGTGCGCCGCAGCAATAGAAGTGTACTAGAAGAGGGTGCCTCCTGAGCTTAGAATGAAACTAGAGACAACACTTGTGGGGAAAAAAACAAAATTGTTCACTGTTTCACGTTTCAGAAACAAGATAGAAGAAAAAAGCGGAAGGAACTGGTTCAATAACTTCCTTTTGGAAGCTCCGGAACCGGAAATAGGTGGCAGTGGTGAAAGAGTGGTCAGCGCTACCTCAAAAAGCGGCATATAGACACGATGGAGGGGCTTTAGACGTGATCACAGACCGATGATGTTAGCCGCTTTGTTTCTACTTTACTAAATGCAAATCAGCTTTTGCTCGAGGCTGCGTCCCTCCCGTCGGCGACCATCCGCTAACCCACTGCGCGTGGGCCTGCTCCCCATCTCCTCCTCACGTGGAGGTGGGAGGTGATGTAGGGTGGAGGAGGTGGCAGAGCGCTGCCTCAACTTTGTTTCTCCGCTCCCATTTATTTCTCCACCACAACTGTGCGCTCATATATAATGCTGCGTGCGTTTGCCTCGCTGCACTCTCCTAGCAGGACTGCTTGTTGACTTTGCGGCGCACACACGGTAATACACACAAATAGGAGGGGGGTAACATAAGCGGTACACAACATATACACTATTCCCCACAAAAATTACATACACCGAAACATACAAATGAAGACAACATATGTAAACAAAGTGAACACCAGCGCTGCTTCGCAACCTCACATGATTCTCTTTAGTGAGAATTTGTGTAATTTTTTTCCTCCTATCGCTTCGCAAACTGGCTTTGTTTTGATAACAAAAAAGGTTTATTTGTTTGCGCTAGGCAACTGTGGGCATTAGACAATAAAATTTGGTGCTATTTTTTGCGTATGTACAGGCAGGCGTTTCTGTTGTGTATCACAGTTCTGCCAAAAAATCTGTCACCAAATGTATAACAGAATACAAAACTACATTGAAGCGTAAATTGTTCCGATGGGGAAGCCTTAATCGAGGACTCCTACTGGTCTTAGCCGCCCATTTAGGCTGGCTTATCGTGCCTGCTTAGAGCTGGAAAGTAGCACCTCCCATAACTAAAACACTTTGTCATTTCTTATTACGTGAGGTGAGAGAGAGGATTTGAGCAGCCTCAGTTCAAAAAATAGAGTGTAAGACTTCCTCCACAGCAGAGACAGCAACCTTGATGACACATTGTCCAGATTATAGTATCCACGAGTGTCTTTCCTGGAATAGTGACGGAGTTGTGATTTTGAGAGGTAAACACAGCTGCCGCTTTGTGTCGCAACGTGCACTCAATCGGTGCCATGGCTTGACAGGCTCTCGAATGTAGTTTCAGTTCCTGTTTCGTGATTAACTTTTTTACCTAGTATTGACAGGCAATAGCTCAGAAGTGCGCGACGAATTCTACGGTTGTGGGATTTACAACGCAACAGGAGTATCTGGTATAAAGAGTTTAAAAATCTTGCTACCAGCCCCCGAGCAACTTTTTCCCCTATAATATGGCATTCCCATCATGTTTATTTTTTTTGTCACAAAGCTTTTAGACACAGATAACCTTGATACTTTGTTGGTACATATGGTGATAAGAAGCTGCCTCATGGAGGATCAGAGACTTTGAATTGCTGGGAATTTTTTTGGTATTTAGTGATTGCGATGTTCTATAAAACACTTCTACTCTTGAAGACGTAATTTTCGCAAAGGAATGACCACAGTATATCCTATGCACATTTTCTGCTTTTAACACCGCATGCCTGCCCACACCGAATTACTAATTGCATTGCGACGTTTCATTTCCTGCGTGTAGTTCCTAGAACAGAACATTGCCATGACGCATGGAGTGCGTACTGCCGCAAGCCTTCACATACACTGTCGTGCATGAAAACTCGAGCACCTACTACATGCGACTGTCGATGCAGTGAGTAATATTCATTCTTATGCTCACTGAATCCACGCTCTCGCAAAGATTATTTCTATATTACTTTTTGCTGAATAAAATTGCCATGAGACTGCTGTTTTTCAAACACTTCAGCTGTAAACTGCTCGGATAAATTAATCATGACAATACTGCTTAGTAAGCATCATGATTCTTTGATTTTAATGTTGTAATGATCATCCCCACCCCCTAAAACATGAGAAGGTTCGCAAGAGAACAGAAGAAGGAAAAACAGTGAGGCCAACAAGTTCAGTAAGGTAGGTTCGCTACCCTACTGGTGGAAACAGGAAGGAGGAGATTAAAAGAGGGAGAGTAAGAGTAAAAAGAGGAAGGAATATGGGAAGGCTCCAGAAAGCTCGACTTATTCTAGACTGCATCGGTTGGTGTGCGTAAACTTTAAGGCACGCACGTTGTATAGTATGTGTGGCGAAACAGTTCTTGATTTTCCGACATTTTCAGTGCATTGTGTCTTTGCAACCTGCATTCTGAGAAAGAAGTTTGAAGAAATACCAAGTGTTTACGCGAAAAATCCTAGTAACATTTTTGTTCACCTAAATTAGCTTATTATGTTACAGTTTTTATCCACCTACTTAACACCAATAAATTATTTCTAGGTATTTAAAGTGGAGGTGAGCATGTTAGAATGAACGCATTTATGCACAAAAGTTTGGAATACGTATAGATTCTATGGTTTTTCTGATTCTCCGTGATTTATAACTCAACAAAAGTGCCAAGCGTTTTGAAGGCGCCTAGTTAACAATATCGTTAAGGGTTTTCGTTCTGCGGACGATGATTAGATATTTTCTAGTGGTGATAACTGTGAAAAAACAACAACCACAGTGAGTGAAAAGATTGAAACAGAGCGAGGCTGAAGTTTACATGAATCCCAGTATAGTGGAATAAAATTTCTTCACATTTGCTCGATGTTTTAGAGCCACGTACGTTGACAGTATTCAGCTAGATCATGACAGAAAGCGGGACTCAGCCTATATTTTGGTCAGGTGTATGTAATCGACTTAACGTGTCACAAGCCTTAGTGATATTCATAGACATTAGGCTCGAAAAAACATCCACCACAGTCCGTCTACATAGGTTAATCTTGATCAAACAATGTAATAGCTTCCAAATATCAACAGTCATTGTTGAAGCTGTCCGCCACCAATGTATGATAAACAACAAATTCTATCTGACAAGGCACGCTTCACTGTCAAAATAAGCGATTACTATGACGATAGAAAAAACCAGGTTTCTCTTTCTGATAAAAAAATAGGCTTAACGCACTTTTTTTTCCGTAAGAGCGCGTCATACAGTTGATAATACACTTGAAGACCATACAGTTAAACGATAATTTTGGTGTGACCACCACGGTGATGTAGTAATTCTGGTCTTGCACCGGACGTCTGGCATGAAAGTTTCGCGATCACATCCTTGCTGCGAAGGACGTATTTATATGGAGGCGAAATGCTTCACCCCCATGCCCTTAGATTTACGTGCAAGTGAAACAAATGCAGCGGGTGATAATTTTCGACGACCTCCAGTTAGACGTGTCTCATACCCATGCGAAGGCTTTGGGACATGAAGCTATATCAATTATTAATAACACTTCTTGTTTATGTCAATGACGATAAAAATGTATGCGTGGTTTTTTTGTGTATTACTTATTTTTCGATACATATGTCACCTAATCACTTGGCGGAAATAGTTTTACATTTTTGATTTCCCTATATTTTGTCGAGTGATTAGAGAATCGATCCCAACCCCAACTCAAATTTTTCGCTTCTTGATGAGCAAATGTTCGGACTTAAATCTTTATTTTAGGCTTAAAAAGTTTGCCCTTTTTCATTCGTTATATACATGTGCGAATCGTTTCAGTTTTACCTCATACAAGTAAGCAGGAAATTGTGGAAGTTTTATACGCTATTTTCATTTTCTAGCCCTTTCTAGGCTTCAGTGAAGCAGAAGTGTTGCATTAAGTAATATTGTACGCTCTGCACCTTAAAATTGAGGTACGTTTCTTTAGTACTTATATTGCTACTGCTGTTGGTGAAGGTGAATGAAAGTAAAAATATTACATAGCTCATTTGAGTAAGAAAACTAATATATATATTTTATAAAATGAACCTATAGAACTAATCAATTGCTTCCACGGCTATTACCCGTTCCTAATGTTTATAGTTGCCCAACTGCTTAATTTGAAAAGATGGTACATCTGACTCACGCATAATATCGGCGCACGCATATTATCAGCCTTAATTTAGACCCGTAGGCTAAGACATTGTTTTGGCTTTATCTAAGAGCATCTACTCATAATCTCCGCATCATGCATTGGTATTTATTATTCATCATATGGTCTTCAAGGTGATTTTAAGGTCAAGCCTGGAGATTTAAGAGTTTCGTCATCATTTGGTCAAATCAATTTTGAGAACCATGCGTGCATTACTTTGCTGCGCTGATATTCGGGTGCCTCTTTGACGTGGACAAAAAGTGCCATTTTGTTTCCTTCGTCATGGCTAAATATGAGAACTCATAACACAGCCTGTTGTGAACTTTTCAATTTAACCTACGAAAACCAGCAACTCACAAGGACTTTCAGCTTTAGTAACACTCGATTCAAGTAGCAAAAAATGATGGAGCAGTAATATATTTAACCTAAAGCTGGCAGCCTCCGCCTCCGCCACCATTTGCTCAACAAGGAACATAACTTCGGCTCCTAAATGAAAGTCATCTAGTATTTTCCGGATAACCTTAACTCCTTCTTACATTTGATAGCAGTTACAGGCTAACAGCTAACAGGGATAACAGAAATTAGAAGGTGCCTCATTTTGATTTAAAGTATCTGTATATTACTTTATTTATTTTTCAGGTAATAGACACCAGCGTATATATAGGTACCGCTGCTAAAGACTTCACAATACGTAGTATTTTTGTCACCTGGAATATTGCTGTAGGCAGATGATCGTCAACATTCGATGACGGCTATGAATAAACATTTTATGCTTCTAAACTTGCTTAAGGCATGAAGTTTAAAGCAATATTAGGAGAATTTTCTGCAGCTATACCTTGAAGAAAACCTAATTTGGATATTGTGCAAATGTGCCCATTATATACATAGTCAGTATAACACAGCCTTGACGCCACCCGCCATTTCAACCGCTCACTTGCACGTGCAGGAGCTTAACGTGTTAGCATAACACGTTCTAAAGTTACTCCACAAACAGAAATAAATCAGGATTAACGGACCAACGAGCCAACCGAAGTGAAGACGACGTTATTTGAATAGGTATGTTTTATAAACGCGAAAAAAGTGGACAATGGGACAGCTTGCCACCGGCAGCAACCAATCGTGCAAACATTCGAGCCGTGGCAGTGGTCTTCTTCTCATCTAAGTATATCGAGTATATCTGTGCACACAAGCCTCAGATTGTTCTTCGGCACCTTAAGTATTCATTACGTCGAGTGTGGAACACACGGTTTCATAGAATATGAGACCTGTTATTCCCAAATTTTGAGTTTTGTCCTTGGCGGAACGCTATCGTTCCATTCACATTAACTTCATTACATTTATGTCAAATTACTAGTAATATATTCATGATACTTTATTGGCTTGATCGTCTCTTGGTCTATAATAATGTTTTTGTTCAACAAAGAAAAACTGGCCCATAAACATTGCCTTTGCTCCCTTCATAGCAAGGGTATCATTCTAGCATACTGCTATGCCATGAGGTAGTGTTCGTAGGATTATGGGTCAGTACCTATATCGTACAAATGATCACGTGCTGCATGATGCGAGCAGGCAAACAAAACGACCTCTACACTCATAATATGACTACGAGTTGCGTTGATTAGCGCTGCCATCTTTAAATGTACAGATATACTTAATAAAGCACCCGGCAGGATCGCAGCTGCGGTCACCTAATGGGTAAAGCATCCGATCGGCTATTATAAGGCTCTTCTAAGACGTGTGAAACATGCGCCAATATCTCAGCCCCGGCAATTATACGGTCATTATATCTGGAACTGTCTTGCTGTGGAGGCGTGTGACTTGCTTACACCCAGCAGAATCTAATGATAGCGTTGGTATGGACTACAGATAACTTCCGGCTGTGAATCAAGGCGTTTGGACGAATTAAGAGCGTAGCTTTGGCATGTAACAACTGCTGACTTGTACTTGCAGAAAACACTCCATGCAGTATAGATACTAGTCCATGCGTTATGATCCAAGAGGGCACTTGCAGTGTGAGCATAGTCCCCATGGCCTTCACTGGCCCGTAAACATGCAACGCAATTTCAGTTGATGGGGGTTGTATTCACACTTAACCACTAGCATCACAATTATACTTCAAGAAGAGGCACTGCGGACCCCAAAACTAAGTGATAGAAAAAAAAATATTCAGTTACTCATTGTAGTCATCTTAGTGATAACCTTCTGCACTTTACGGCCAAATAGACGCAACATTCATGCACTTCAAATACTTTTATGGTTTCTATATTCCTACGAACAACTCAATCGCTTATGAAACCAGAGAATCATCTCAAAACTATGCATGTTTCAGCCACTTTGCTCAATACATATTCAAGCCAAGGTGCAAGTGCACTTAACTAATACTGAAACTTCTTTAAGTTGCCCCGCCGCAGCAATCTAGCGGCTAAGGTACTCGGCTGCTGACCCGCAGGTCGCGGGATCAAATACCGGCTGTGGCGGCTGCATTTCGATGGAAGGCCGAAATGTTGTAGGCCCGTGTGCTCAGATTTGGCTGCACGTTAAAGAACCCCAGTTGGTCGAAATTGGCGGAGCCCTCCACTACAGCATCTCTCATGATCATGTGGTTGCTTTGGGAGATTAAGCCCCACATATCAATCTATCAAACCTACGTAAGCAGAAATTTTGGTGAGATGCACGCACCCAATTAAGCGATTCAACATTCGGCAGCTGTTACAATTTTGTAGCGCTAGAAGAGAAAGCAGGACTGTGGATCGGTAACGAATAAATTTCGCACTTCTAATATTGTTTGGGCAACAGCTGTGAGAAAATGCGACATCATGCAACCTCTCCGTCTGTGTGACACACCTGCGTTCAATGCGTGAAAATGCTGTTCAGCGCAGTGACACACCGAGAGAGGATCAATGAACTGATTCACAAGCAATTCAAGGCCCAGGGTGGTCCCGATAGTCGTTGTGTCTCGGATTTAAATGCCACCTTGTCGTCACCGTTCTGGTTTGCTTTTTTTATAAGTCCACTATTGCGAGGGTGCATCTGTAATTTGCGTCCGTATAAGTTGTCACTCAGCCCAAAAAAGTATACTGAGTAACCTTCCTACTTTAGAAGGCTAGTAAATCTTGTCGATGATTTTCATGGTTGGTGCCTTGTCAGGCTGCAAGATAAATAATAGAGGGGCTGAGTTTCAACGTGGTCAGAAAATAATGCCAAGTGGTACTCGGGCACCTGTGAACCTCTGAAGGAAATATTATTGCGTAGCTTACCAAAGAGAGTTTGAAAAGTATTTAGAAACACCGCAAATCTTGTACCGTGCGAAAAAGACAGGATTGAAAGAGAAGATAGGGCGATGCGTTTAGTGCTCTCGTGTCTTTCTTGGTCTGTGCGTTTTTTGAATGTCAAAATATTCACGACGTTATCAGCACCAGCAAGCCCATTCCTACACCCTGTCAAGCTATTCACGAGGTCAGCTGCAGAACGCATGCTTTGTTCTCTAAGAAAGATACAAAATCTCGAAACAAACTGTGCCACACAAGCAACAAAATAAGGTCATTGGGTGATTTAAACAACACCTTGAGCTCGATTGTTACCGTCGCTCGTCGCGTTATGGTCTCGTTAACTGCCCACAGCATTTCGATGTTGATCACGCCCGCTTTCATTGAAAACAAAATAAACAAAATAATCAAGTACGCCTAGCACGCTATTTATGGACGTAGTGACTGCTACCATTCATCTTATCTCCCTTTTATAACTTTGAGTTAACTCGCTAGAACGAAGCCAGAGAAAGAGTGCCGAGACTGAGCGACTTATCCTAGAAAATGCGCATGTACCTAATAGATTCGAAAAAAAGCTTTTGTTTGCAATCGCCCACTCTCACTGGTGAAGAGATAGAAGGCACGAAACACTTGCAGCTTGATGACGAGAACCTTTTTTGTGCCCATAGGCCCTCGTTCCAGGTCCTTGGGAATCTCTTCGTCTCAGTACCATCACCGCTTCATGTCCTTCGTCAGCCGATATCACGATCGTAACGGTTGATCGATCATCGCAATACAAACTTCGCATGTGCTCGCCTCCTGCAGCTCCAAAATCTATACCACAAAAAAACAGCACAATTTCTTTCTCATATCTAGCGTTCTCTTGCGGTGAGAGCCACAACTTCAAACGAGTCTAAATAAATCTTTAAGTTTTACAAGCAAATTTTGCATGCAATACTTTACAATCATGTTCACCACAAATTTACAGCAAGATAATTTACGGTACGTCAACTACTCATACAAATAGGAGGCTTCACATCAAACGAACGAAAAACAGTTTCCAACAAAAAGGCGGCTAATTTCAGGTACTTTGTCATTCTCACATGTTAAGCATCAATTGTGGTGGTGTTAACGTCACAAAACATTAAACTGACACTACAAAAAAAAATTTTATTGCCTGTGACGCTGTTGGCCTCATCAGTGCATTATCTAACCGTGTTGCAAACACGGTGGCTCTTCATGAGGTAAATCTATAGCACCAAATGATGGCACCACGTTAGGGAAAGACGCTTAGATGTTGTGGCAACATTTTATGTGGCATTTCAGTGGCAAATGCGTGGGGTTATGCTTTGCCTGCAGCCCAACCACTGTGCTCTAGTGGCTAAGGTACTCGGCTGCTGACCCACAGGTCGCAGGATCGAATCCCGGCGGCGGCAGCTGCATTTTCGTTGGAGGCGAAAATGCTGTAGGCCCATGTGCTCAGATTTGGGTGCACGTTAAAGAAGCTCAGGTGGTCGAAATTTCCGGAGCCCTCCACTACAATGTATCTCATATTCATATGGTGGTTTTAGGGTGTTAAACCCCACATATCAATCAATCAACAGGGATGAATAGTTTTGGTTAACGGCAACTTGACCGTGCTCACATCTGAGTATCACATTTATTTACGTTCTTCAGCGTAAACTTTTAATTATTGCATCTGTAGAGCATAGTGAAGTGCTTCTTCGACACGACAGCATTTTCATGGTATTCATGTCAAGAAATGCCAGACATATTGGTCAAGCTTTCTTACCCTTCCATAATAATATTGTATGCGGAGTATCTTATGGTCGTGCTCAATATGGTGTGCGGCGTGACCACTCTTATTGCACATGCGCACCGCATCCCCCTCTTTTCTCCTACAACCCCCTCTCTCCTCTAGACATCTAGACATCCCTCCACGCAGTGTTTAAACCCCGCTGTGCATGCGCGCCACCTCCTCTTCCATGCTCCTCCCTCTCTCTCCTCGCCACGGCGACACAGGCCGCCTCCGCTAGCGAGTGTTTAGAAAAAGTGGTGAACGATTTTCAATACTTCGTACCACAGTACTCGACTGGAAGAACTAAGGATGTATAAAAAATTGTTTGAGTGGAAATTCTTGCCCACAAGTGAAGCCGTGCCAAACGTATGACCGCGGCCACAGCAGCCATCTCACTAAGGGCATGACGAGCTGTGTGTTTAGAAAAAATGTTTAACGATTTTAAGTACTTGGTACTCATTCACGTTCGGCGATTGAGAAGAACGTTTTTCTCGCACTCCCAAGGAGTTCAACGTGGCAACCTTGAAGGGTCAGATAGTGCATCCTTGTGTTACTAGTTTTCTTTAGTAAGCCTCAGATTCGAGGCCGATTTCATTGAAGGTTGAATGAGTGATACTAGTCTCTGCAAATTATTTCTTCGCAAACAACTATCTTGTAATTTATATTTACCGTAGCATTTAAACCAAAAAATCGAAGCCACTTGATCACTAAGTGGGTACAACCAAAAATATCATATTTATGCGATCTTTGGAGGGCAAAAGCTGATTTAACTGCTGCTGGCAAAGCATTGCGGGAGCTTCCACTCCAGAAATTTTTTTAAAACCTCCTTGAAAAAAAAGTGACTGCTTGCGCGAGACTCTAGACCCTAACTTTGGTACAATTGTTCAGTAATACAGGGACGATAGAAAACTGTATCCAGCACCACATAAGAACCTCACAGCAATAGAGTCAGTGGCATTACGCAGAATTCAAACAAACACATACACGAACCTACATAGGCTACATGTATTCTACCCCACAGCATACATGGATATATGTCTGTAATTTGGGGCCACACCAACTCTGTTTCACATCACGTGGGAGTGTACACATCACAACGAAGAACCCCACAACATGAACAACACAGAGGAACAATGGGAGGCATTGCTGTCCAGCTCGGCCATTGCTGATCAGCGCTGGCTGGTCCAACGGGTAGCGATTATGGCTAGGGCCAGCGGAGCCCTGGAATAGGGGCCCGACCGTCTGTAATGCTCCGGGTTATGCTCAAATAAAGTTCTCTCTCTTTCTTTATGCTTGCGCTGCCCAACCATTTACCGCCACCCTGCTATATGTGCACTGGAATTCAACCTACAGGGTAGTGTCATTGGGAGGTTTTTTCTGTGGTTTGTTCAACAATGAAAATTTGCCGCGTGTGCGTTAACTAAAAGTAAATTGTGGGTTGCTATGTTCCGTCACAGTCTTCTATCTTCTCTGTAACCAATCGAAGTCCTGCGTTACTCATTGCTCATCAGTAGAAATTTTCCTGTTCCAGTAGGGAAAACTTGTCCATTAATGCGCGTTTCGCGCTTCTCCAGGTTTCTCTCCTGTGCTACGCCGCCATGAGCACCAGTGTGAATGCCGCCGCAACAGTAAACGTTAGTGCTCGCTGCTGCAAGTTTCAAGTTTCAAGCTTTAAGTTTATTTCAGCTATTAGGAGCGAAAAGGGAACATTGTACAAATCGTTCATTTCAGCGGGAGAGGGTATAAATTGTTTCTCCACCCCAACTTAAAGAGGAGATCATGAGAACCCCCAAATGTAGGTGGCTAGATAGACAGATACGTAGATTGATATTCGCAAAATTACTGGAGTCCGCTATGAAATGCCTCTTACTTGAAAAACATGACCGTTGTGCCAAAGAAAACATTTATTGTTTTGTTTGTTTCAATAAGCATGCCGACCGTTTTTCAGATAATATCGCAAGAACCTTTGGTGTATGAGCTCACTGCTACGTTTGCTTGATGCAATCACTGTCAACACAATCGAAATGACGAAGGATAACGCATCGCTCTAGAAGAAACCGCGACATTTTCAATGAATAAAAGGCCTCTCTCGTATGAACTTGAAGCCATTTCCTAAAATGTCAATTTTACGTACTATTTCATCGATACTTGTGGAAAATGAATCACTTCAACGAGTATTCCACATATCCAGATTATACTAGGTAAGCACGCTTTCGAAATCTTTATTTTATTTATTATTGTAGTGGGTATATATTGTCACATGCTACGAAAGGTCTTTCGCGTGGAAGAACTGAGCCGGTGGGGAGACACACAGAAAAGTGGCAATATAGCTGGCTCAATAATGACAACAACCAAGCTGAACGCGCACTGCCTCGTAACATCTTCTTCCATTTTAGATGGCAGCCATGGCTCGCGCTCACCGTACCTAGTGTGCAAGTGAAAACAATTCGCATAACAAGTGCAATTTACTTAAAAAATGGTGAACACACTGAATTTTGGTAATTACCAACCTGGTTTTAATTATTTTTTAACGTGGAGATTTTTGCAAATAACTCCTTGAAATTACCAGTCAATCTTATTAACAAGGCGCGCTGTGTAAAATGCACAAAAACTCACGGAAGACGAGGTGCCGCTTTCATAGCTGCTGAAATGGTGTTCATTGCTCTATCTCGCTATACCTAGAAATAGGAGATTCATGAATAAAACTGCTCTGGCGCTGGTAAAACAGCGTATATATCATTTTGTTACTTTGCACTTTTAGCTATAGCCTTAAATTTCAGTTAGTTTGATGAGCCGGGCCAAAGCGTAAAATTGTTTTGAAATTTGGCGTGATTCTGCAGAGGCATCATGCGAAAAAAAGAATTGCGATAAAAAAGCAACCAAATGCGACAAAAATGCATCAAGTTGCCATATACAATGTCTTACTAAGTGAACGAATTACTTACACTTATTATATATTTGTTATAGTTTTGTGCGGTGAACCAGGCCAGTCTGCTCTGAGCGCGCACATTTTGTGCCCTCTTTACTTGTCCATACTCATATCAGAGATATCGTAGATATCTTTCCTTGCTTAATCTCTTGTACCTCTGCACTATATATACTGCAGTAGTGTTATTAATAAACGTTGTTTCGCCACCAGCTAGCATGGCGTTTAGGCTACTGCAAGTTGCAGTGGGTTACAACTATGGCGACAAGAGTCGTGGACCATTCGGTGGAAATAGGTCCATTGAGTGGTTAAACCAATCTACTGCCACAAAACACAGAGGAGAACCATGGCCAGTCTTCAGCTAACACTGTTTCAAGAATACAAAGATAAGCGCGAACTATATCGCTCACGGGTAAAAACATTGACAGTCATGCAAGCCACGTCTAGTCGTGACGATAGCGAGGAAGACAGCGCGGCACATGTTGGGACTGAAATCTCCCCCTCCTCCTCCTCCCCCCGAAACAGAGTGGAACCGACGATACGGTGAACGCTTTCTTGGAAACATGTTGAACGAGACATGAAAATGGACACAGAGTCTCTTGTGTGCGTCATATTACGCTAAATCTACGTATACCATTATGCAATGCGGCCACACTCCAAAGCTTCTGGATTGAACTTTGGACTGTCTGTGCTGTACGAAATGTGTGCCTCATGTGCACGCTAACGGTGATTCACTGTGCACAACGTTGCCTGTGTGGGCGTGGCCTGACAACAGTGTTCGGAAAGAGGGGCGTGTATATTGAACAGCTGACAGCACCAGATTTGCCTGCCGCCCGGAGTTAGAGCGCTTGCAGTGAAACATCCCGATGGTTGAATACGAACACTTCCGCAGATATTGAGCTCACCAAAGGTCCTTCTGTGAGCCTGTTGCTGAAGGCGACGTCGACGCCGAAATTCTGTAAGGCTATATTCATTTCTTACGTGCTCTGTGATGAGTTCTCAAGCGAAATTGGGGAGGGGGGGGGCTGGTGTCTTTTCAGCACATTGATCATAAAGGGCATGTACAATCAACTTCCGCTGGACGACGCACCGCACAAAGTTGTGCGTCATTACAATCATCGAGGTCTCTATTGTTATAACACGCTGCCGGTTGGGATTGCTTCAGTGCAGGCTATAATTGAAAGGAAGGTAGAAGCGATAATTAGCGAATTACTCGGCGTGCAAGCGTACCTTGACAAATCGTTGTTGGCTGAGTGTGAATGTCAGACTGAAAGGCGGCTCGAGGAAGTTACAGAACAATTTAGAGAACATGCGTCGAAACCTAGGTCCGAGATAAGAAAGTTCAGACAACTTCGGTCTCGTAGCTTGCGTATCGCATAGATCGGGAAAGATTTCATACAATTGAGAGAAAAGTAGATGCTATCATGCAAGCACCACAGGCCGAGATGTCAAAGATGTGTTCAGTATCGGGCACGCTCACGAATTAACTTGCTGAATAAGTCCTCACTGTTATCTTTATTGTACCAGCTAGTGTAAAAACGGGCATTCTAGGAGTTGCTTTCACGTACCCCATATCGATGCATTCTGAAAAAATGCCCCCCCCCCCCTACTCTCCGAAGAGAACTGTGAGGAAATGCGAACGAGTTTCTTGCGCCGATAAAGAGTATTGCTGCTTTCAGGCATTCGCCCTCACCGAATTCTGCCATCACCTTGAAAGACGCCCAGCCAGTGAACAGTAGAGAGTGAGGAGTGAGCAGACTGGAGAGTATGGCACCAGCGTTCTCGACTCGGCGTTGGCGTTTCACAGTGGCATCTCGTGCACACATTTTCGAATGTTCTTGAGAGGCGTCTAGCCAGCGAACGAACGGGAGTGAGGCGCGAGCGAACAGGAGAGTGGTGCACAGGGAGGAGAGAGAGCAAATGGCGAGAGAAGGAGTGGCGAAGCACTTCACCTGTTATTTTACCTGATGGCATAAAGTCAGCATCTAATCAACCCAAACGCTACATAAACGCTTCCAGCACAAACGCTACAAACGCTTTTCAAACACACTGCATTAGGGCGGTGGCAGGTCACGTTCAAGTCTATAAAGTGGGGGCTCCGGTTGCTTGGGGCGAAGTTAGGCGCTTGTGCTCACAGCTGTTGCTCACAGCTGCTGACGCAGAAGCGTAACATGGTGGGGGCTCCAGTTGCTGGGGGGGGGGGAGCGTGCACGCAGCTGTTGCTATGGGAGAAGGCGGTGGACGGTTCCCGACGGACGCCTGACATAGCTCAACTAAGAAATGCGTTTGCATTTAAACGCCAAGAAGAGCCTAAAGAACGCGCAATCATTGGTGCATTTTGACCCGAAAAGGAGCTGAAGCTACAATGCGATGTGACTCTGCATGGCGTTGCTAAAGTTTTATTTCTCTTGGCTATAAAATACCATAGGACCGTCAGATTCCACTAGAGAATGCTAAAAAATGTGGAACAGAGCTGCTGGCTGCTTGAGCAAGGGCTGTTAGTACTTTTTTTAGGCGTGTATTGTTTTTGAGATTATCTTTTAAGTTTGCAGTTTAGCTAGGTCACCAACCATACATCAGTGTTCTGACTGTTCAGGCCCAATCAGTACAAATAATTACAATTTACCTACTGGCTCTTATAGGGGCAAGTGACTAAAAATTAGTTAAATATTCTAATAAGTCACGCTTGTAAAAGAAAAGTTAGTGCCGCACAACGACGTTAATAGGCTACTGCATCAAAGGTGGCCTTCTAATAAACAACTTGCTTAAAAAAGGGATGCTAGTGTAACGTCACCATTTACCAGATTCATTCGTAGTCTAGTTTAATGACATCTTGAAATGACAAGGAACTAGTTACGCATACGGGATAGTTTTGTGGAAGAAAGTGGCCATCTTGGGACTTACCACACAAAAATTTAAACCAGTAGGGTTGGGGTGAGCACCATATTTTATTTACACCCAATGAATAAAGTCTACCTGAAGTGCAGCATTGTTAGATCTACATATACACAATTATATTTGAAATCTCTATGAGCAACAAAATATGAGTATATAAATTTAGTTCCTTAATGTAATACTGACACCATCTTGAACATGTGAACTAACACTGCGATAAAAGCTTCTGTTCACAGAAGCAGCGCTGAGCAAGTGTGAGGCTCACCAAATTCTCATAATATACTTTATTTTGATATGAAAGCCATTTTTTCTGTGGTTCCACTACGGACTTCGATTCTATCTTGACGTCATGATACAACACAAGATTTTGTGATTTTAAGCAGCAGTATGGCTAGTTGTGATGGCGTTGGGTACTGAAACTTCGAAGATGGTTGCTTCTGCTTCACCAAAACAATGACAGTTTTCACTCGTACGATACCAACAGAGCCATATCGTGCAGCGGATGAGAAAGCTCCATGATGTCTAGAGCGAGTGCGTGGAACCAAAACTAGCTTACAGAAATACACTGTTATTACGTTTCCAGGATGCACTCACGCTTAGCAGTACATTTCTTAGGCTCCAAATACTTTGGCCCCTCAGTCGACGCAAGAAAAAATTTGGCAAGTTAAATGTTTGGTGCACCTACTCTTTCAAAACACAAGTATCAGATGAAGGGTAACTAAGCCTGCATAATGACGTTTTACCTGTTTAGTTCATAGATGTTAAAAGATATATATTGTCAAGTTTCTTATTTTGTCTGTTACAACTGTTTCTTTCGTATGCAGTTGGTGTTCACAGGTGCGATGTGTAGTCCCATATTTCTTTATTTGGGTTCAATTCTGTTACACAATGTGGCTTATGCGCGCTCAGGTTGGTATATTTATATAAATTCCTAAAGGTACAAAGACGTGACCAAATGCATGTTGTTCACCATTGCCTGAAATTAGATGATTTTTTTGTGTTCTGAAATATTTTAACTAGATCTGTTTAATGAACTAACTTTTTAAGAAACGAAGATCGATAAAGAATTTCATTGAGAAAGTTGTAGATCGGTTTTCAAAACGTCCGATTAGACAGTTTTTAACTTTATATCTGTTATATTTTAGTGTTCTTCTAATTACAAATGCCCGCGAAATGCAAAAAATACCGCGTGACAAACCCGCTCGTGCGCCAGTGCGTGCAATAATTTTAGTGCTCCCTAACGTTCCATTTACGAACGACCATAGCCT